ATTTGTATCCTTTTCCTTGCATCTCAGGCTTTACTTGTTTGTTAGTTTGCTTGTGTTTATTAGCTCTATTTCTGTACTAGGTGTGGGCTGAAAGAAGACAGGAATTAAGGTCTTTCCCACTTCGGTCAGGATGTAGGTTAGTACTTACACTTAGTACATGAGATTTAGTAAAATGGTGCTGAATCAAATTGAGCTCACTTAATAGAGCCCATTATAGTGATGGTCTCTCTGAGGATAAACAGGAAAAGAATAACAATGGCTGGTCATGCTTTAAGCAAAATCTGAGGACGTGACTTTGGTCCCTAGACTTTTTGGGTAGCACAGAAATAACACTCTTAGTTTTAATTTAGTTAGAGAATGTTCTCTTTAATTGAATTAATTAGTTCTCATTTTTAAAAACTTAAAATCTGAATAGGTTTTGCTTTAGGCATCATAATCAGAGAAATCAACTAAATATCTCTAGGTTTTAAAAACTTCACATAAATATGGTTGAGAAAAATCAACTTGAGTTTTATTTAAGCAGTGTATTTCATCTAAATTATAGTATATATAAACAATAAATTGAGATGCCTTAGAGACCTAAAGGTGAAAAGCAAAAATTTAAAACAATTAGAAGATAGAGGAGAATGTATTTATTACTTCAGGGTGGGAAAGAATTTCTTAAGTGAGAGTCCAAAATAAATATTGACCATAAGTGAAAAACTGATACTTTTGACCATGTCAAAGTATCATATCAAAAGATACCACAAATAAATCAGAATAACAAAATACTGTCTAAGAGAGAACATTTATGTAGTAGTCAAGGGATTAATAGCCAGAATGTAACAAATAAATTTTAAAAAGACAAACTAGACTTTAGAAAAATAGGTAAAGCACATGATTAGGCGAGTCACAAAGAAGATGGCCAATAAACATATGAAGAAGTGCTCCCTTATGAACAGTTACGGAAATGGAAAAATGCAAGTTAAGGCAAAGCGATACCGCCATTCAACTCATAAGGCTGTCAAAATCTTAAAAGTCTAACAATATCAACCATAGATCAGACTGTAAGAAGACAAGAAATCTCAACCACCTGCGAGGGTAAATTAATGTACTATGCCTACAGAGCAGAGGTCCACACATGACAGGTCCAGATAGTAAATATTTTAGGTTTTGAGGGCCAGGAGGCAACATCTAGGATATTATAGAGGTACTTACACAATCATTTAAAAATGCACAAACCAGTCCTAGCTCACAGGCTGTATAAATAAAGCCTGTGGACTAGACTGGGTATGTGGACTTACAGACCCTTGCTACATTTGGCCAGTATCCAGGATCCCAGATTCTACTTTCTGACATATGAGTATATCCTAGAGAAACTCTCACACAAATGGACACAATGTACATACATATTAGTTGTAACATTATTAAACACTGGAAAACAACTTAAATATCCACCAGGAAAGGAACTGCTAAACAAATATGACATATTCAGTCATATTCCATACATTCATGACTATATACTAATGACCTAATGAGCTTTATGTGTATTAAGGTAAAAAGATTTCAAAATATTTGGTGAAAAACTTAATAGAATATATGTAGAGTTTGATGTCATTTATTCTGAAAATTGCTGCTACTAATGATTTGTAAAAAGAGAAATACATGATCAAATATAACTTGGCCTCAGCATGGTGTATGGAGATAATACTGAGAGAAGTGTGCACTCCAGGCATTTCCCTAGGGACCGCCAGCAGTGAGCTGGAGCAGTGCTCCTCCAACTAAAAAATTAATATTAATGTCAAAAATGTATGGTATAAAATGTTTGTAGATGATCAACTTAAATTAAAAACACTGTATATATATCTATATAGATATATCTATATATATACAGATATAGATATATGTATTTATATATATATATATATATATATATATATATATATTTATTTATTTATTCACTTATTCCCCGCTGAGCCATCCTGCCACCTGTTGGCAGCTCAGCGGCAGCTCAGCTCGGACCGGGCATCGAACCGCTGTTGCTCAGTGCTTGCACTCTTGAGCGAGCTCTTAACCAATTGAGCCACTTGGCTGGCCCAAAAACACTGTATATTTTTAGTGGATACATATATATGTGTGGGAAACTGCATTTCATTGATTTTAACATGTACATTTATTCTCACATTTTACAACTCTGAAATTGGGATGCACCTTATTCATGTGTACAGTTTATTTGTTGGTATTTTTACAGGTTACCCAAAATAAGAGTATTCTCATCGTTGATAGTATGTTGAATTTAATGAAATATAATTTAAAACTGGAAGATGGATTCCTACCCATTTCATCATAGTCATTGTCTGAGAGAAGGAGTGTGGAGAAAAAAGAAGAAGGGAGAGAGGAACTTGGTCCAAGAAGAATCATAAATGATACTTCAAACTGGTCAATAATACTTTACATTTATAAATAAAAAATATCTGAACTAGCATAAAAACATTGAGTATTTATTAATATACAGCTTCAAATGCACACACCATCTTACCTAAAGGAACTTGGTATTGGTGATAGCTACGCTCATCCTCTTATTTCATGGCTAAACCATCCCCCCACATACAAGTTCAACTCACATGGGGATGGCAACCTTGGGCGCTAGCTGTGGGGCATTGTTATTCTGTTTCCGATATAACATGACAGAGGTTAAGGAAGTTGTCTGGTTCTTCCAGTCACATATCTAGTGACCAGCAGAACTAGAACCCGAGTCTAGATTTTGAACTCCAAGTCCATACTCTTGTGCTCTACCATATTTACCAGACTGCCCTCAATGACTTTTAAATTCTCAATTGCTTTACAGAGTTGAAAAAAAGAAAAAATTACAAATAAAAGAACAATTTCAATTTTCAGTTTTAACTAAAAACTACTTTTTGAAAATCACAATAAAAATTATAGTGAAAGTTTTGAGCAGATTCTTAAATCAGTTGAATGAAGGGATGAAATTAGATATGGGTCTTTGAGCTGTGTTCTGTGGATTCCTAAAGGCTCAGGTGAACCTCAGGCATCCTTGGAAGTGCTCCAGTGTTCCACAATCATGGCCATGCTTTTGGCCCAATAAGGAAATTTCAGACTGCCCAAGAAGTCTGTGTACCAGGTTTAATATAATATTTCATTATATTAGCAATCCTTGTAGAAGTTCCCTTGGAAAAAAATCACTTTGCTAAATAATTTACTAGGCTAGTTTTTCCTTTTGCTTTTATAATGTGTCAGTCTCTGACTTAAGGATCAAGTCTATATCTGTGTGTAAAAAATTTGCAGTAAGGATAGCAAATAATTATATTGTTTTAACAGAAAAACAATTAGATTACTCCCATACATCCATGATTCCAATCATATTTATCTTGCATTTAACCCGTAATCAATAAACACTCTTCAAGGTATTTCTAGTTTTGAAGGAACTTAAATACATAGTAGGCGCCTAATAAACATTAGTTGAATTCATGAGTGAGTTAGTGAGTGAATGAATAATGAATGAATGCATGACAGACACAGACTTAGAGGTCCTGGAATGGAGGATGAAGGGACCTCAGGGCCAAATGTCCTGTAAACACCAGCACCGTCCGATTTGGCTCTGGAAGACAGGCCTCCATTTCCACTACTCAATGTTCTTTCCCTTTGTGAATATTTTTAGTCACCCCACACAAAAAAATGCCAAACCTACTTCTTTGAGAGTCTACCGTTTGAACCCAAGTCTTTATATCACATAACAATGTATCCCTATATAATTTTTGATGACCATGTCTTAGTTTTGAAAGCCTCTGCCTATTGCAAATGCAACCTCTAATTTAACATCTAGTTTCTCAAGCACTTATTTGATTCACAGCTATTTAGAATTCGAAGGGACCTTAGAGCTTATCTGCAATTTGTTTTATTTTAGTGACTCTTGGGCAGAGGTTTGAAAATGTCTTGGATAGACATTTTCAGCGACAATGGTAAGCTTCATAATCTAGGGAAGCAGCAATAAGTAGTTGCAAGACCACAGGCTTTGAGACCAGGCAAACCTGGGAATATTCTGGCATTTACACTCTATGTGACATTGGGCAAATTACTTAACTCTTCTGAGCCTCAGTTTCATCATCTGTAAAGTGGGACTATTACTTAACTTGGTTGTTCCTAATATTAGGAATAAAATTGTAAAACATTTTACCTCTTAATAAGAGTAACAGTTGTTTTTATTTCATGTGTTCCTAATAAAGGGTAATATTTTGGTGCCTTAACTTGGAACTTTTAACATAAGAGAGCTTCTTAAATGTGCACAAATATATTATATAGTGATGCACATTTGACATTAGAAAGACCTGAGAATTATATACCTTAGTATGTCACAGGCTGCATTTCATCATGTTTTTTTCTTTCTTCTTAACGGAAATAACATTAAAGAGAAAACTGTGTGACAGAAGTCAGTTTTTCTGGGACTTGGTATTCAGTTTTTATTGTGCTTTTACAACACTTGCAGCTATGTGTTTTATTATTTTTCCATGTGTTTGTTTCAGTCGCACATAGCATGAAAACACTGAGCTGATTTCTAATTAACTGACTGCACCCTGAGGTCTCCAGCATCTACCTTCAGTTTAATTACAGCTGAGAAAAGGATGTAGTGACATTGAAAAGAGTGTCTCTCCATGATTAAAAGAAAATAACGCCGTTTTGGTTTGATCCTTGGATCATCTGGGGTGTGAGTGCCTAGAGATGGTTAAATTGGTATGCTGATGTGAGATTTCTACTTTGTTTTGTCTTGTTTTCCCTCATGCAAACACCTGTACCTGATGCAGATAACATCTTACTTAAATCTGAAATCAGTTCAAGGAGTTCTCTGATTCATAGGAATTTAGAATGGAAGGGATATCATACAACTGATTACTCTACATTGGTTTTCTGGCTTTCATTCTGAAATTAAAAATAGGCCACACATCTGTTGGTGCTCATCCCACTATGAATTCTCAGATATAACTGGAAAAAAGTGCTAAACTCACCAGAGTGGCAAAGAGATGGTATAGAATGAAATAGATGGCGACCACAGGCGCCCACATGTGTCCCACAGCATTTAGAGTTTGGTCCATTACGTCTACCCATCCTTCCTGGGTGAGGATCTGGAACATGGACATGAATGCCTACAGAGGAAAAGAAGGGAGGTATTAAACACCAGCTTTAGGCATGCATGCAATTTAAAATTAGCATACGGTGTTTGAGGACTTTGATCGCTATATTATTTATTTTTATCTGATTGATCAGTGGAAAAACAACCTTAATTCAACCGATGGGAAAAGTCTGAGAAGTAAAGATTCCAAAAGCTTGATATCTAACGATTCAGTGTGGAAACCTAAAATAACTGACCTGAATTAAAATTATCCTTGTTGGTGGTAAATACTGCTGAGAAAATTAGAACAAAATGTAGGACCTTTGCTTGTTTGCCTTTCCTTTTCCCCCCTCTAAAGCAGCTAACTATTTAACATTTCCAACAGATGACTATATACTTTTTTCCTGCTAAGTGCAACTTATTTTTATAATGAATGACATTTAATTATCTAAAGGCATATGAGAATAATAACCTTAATTTTACTTTTATAATACCCATCTATCATATTATGTGTCATATTAAAAAATGAGACGCTCTAAAAAAGATATATTTCTAAAAAGTGATATTGCCATGCTGAGCAACTTAATAAAGACAAATACATTTTTCATAATTTTTTTATTTTCAAGGAGGAGAGTGAAGACCATGGATGAAGCCATGGTGAAAAAATATAGAGTATTCCCACAAAGAGCCAAGCTAAAGGACTCACTCTCTGCAAAGATCTTCAATGAGTTCCATTCTTACATGTTTTTCTTATTAATTATAGGATTACATAGGCATTTCTAACTCTTGTATTCCATATACATTAATGGTCAATAAATGCTTCTTAATGAGAATTTATGATGCTGTATGGGGAAAGTTGAAAATTGGAATCTAGTGACTCTTTAAAAATGTCTTTATAGGCCTTAGTACAATGTAGACTTAAACTGAATTCTCAGGTATCAGGATTCCAAGAAACAAAACCCAGCATAATACAAAAATGGACTGGGCCCAAGATAAAATCTCTGTTACGCTGATTAGGATTTTAGAGCCAAAAGGGACCTTAAAGATAATTTAATCTGACTCTTTTCTTTTTGAAGATAAGGAAAAGGAGGCTAAAGGATGATTGGTGATCAGCCCAAAGTTATTCTATTAATTTGTGGCACTAATAGAAGTACTACTTAGGCATTAGGATGCTAAAGTAAGTACTTTTCCAAGTATTGCTTCCTGTGTTCAGTGAAGTCTTGAATCTACTACTTCCCAGGCAGTAAGCTCTCTCAGCAATTTCCTTTCCTAGAGATAATTAACTTTTTAAGAAGGCGTTCAATGCCCAAAACATAGTGGAGCCATTTGAAAAAAGTAGCGACTACTCATTAAATGAATCTTGAACCAGGAGATAAATTTTTCCACTTCTTTTTGTCCATGTGTAAAAAACGTAACTTCTTCTTGAGTACATTTTTCTATAATCTCATTATCCTACAAAGTGTTTTGTTCTTGAAAGTATGAAATACATCACTATTGACACTTGAACTCAGCATTGCCAAGGACAAAATGATACTTTCCTAGAAAAAGTGCCTAAGACAACATTAGTTTTAACTCATCGTAAAAATGCTTCAGAGAATTTTCAACACATTATTTAACCTCCTAAGTGTGCCAGGATTTATCAGTGAGGGCAATTATTTTCCCTGTATTTTTTTTTTCTGTTGACTATTTATTACCTTCAAAGGCACGGAACAAATTCCAAAAATGATTCACAAATATATATATATAATCAGACTGATGTACTTTCTTCAATGGAGATGTCACCTGTGTGAAAGTGTGTGTACATCTCAAAGACTCAACAGCAATGTGGCAAGAGTCAAAACACCTACCAGTATAAAAGGAATCTTATTGGACATGGATTTCTTCCTTTAAAAGTAACAGAAAAGCTTGTGATTAAGCCCAAAAGATTTATTTTCGGTACCTAGAGACCAAAAACTCAGGTGTACCTTTCAGCTACGTTGGGCACAAACCAATTTAATTTGTTTCACCTACTGCATTAGCTTTCATGAACACTCAGCTATTACGCATTCAGCAAATGCTTGGGAATGTGGAGCTATAGGACTAGACAGCCTGTTGCTGCAAGATTAGCAATGTGGGCAAGAACACTGGGGTTATCCTCTACTCTTTTCAGAGTCTCAGAAAAAAAAAATCTCATTTCTGCACAGCTCAGCCACCTGAAAGTTCATGTTGTGAGATGCTGTGAATTATACTTGAGAGCAAAGCTTACTGTTAAATGTGATTTGTGTGTTTATAGCTGCTTCCATGAATAAAAAAATAAAAGGTAATGCCATGAAATACTTTTATTATAGACAGAAAACTAATTTGTGTCTTGCATGAAGGATGCCTTATCAGTTTTGCTGAGATTTTTATCCAGAAATTTAAATCCAAATGATGGTTTGAGGTTGTGAATCAAGGACACATACTGACTTATATTACCCTCAGGATCTGTGTTCCTTGAAGAACCTGCTTAGTTTATTTATTCAAAAAAAGAATATTACTGGTTACTGAAGGTTTGATGTGTTGAGGATTGAGATGTGGAAGACATGGGTTGTTCCCTTAAGAAATTTATAATCAAGAGTTGAAGGAAAAGATGAACATGACCAGCTCTAAGAAAAGTGAAAATATGGTGTGTAAGAGAAATGTAGCAAAGCTACCAAAAGTAAGTTAGAAGGATCAATGTATTCCTTAGGTAAGTCAAGAACAAGTTCGGAATAATGATGGTCATTGACTTTGATGATGAAGAAGAGTAGAATTTAAAAGGTGGAGAAGGCAATGATGAACAAAGGCCTAGAGGAAGTTGCTTCTTTTTTTTGGACTACTTTCCCTTTTGTTATGCCATTATCCTGTTGACCCTTTCCCGCTTTTTGGTTTCTACCAGCTCTTTAAAAATTAAGAAAACAAATCTTGTACTTGTCATATATGTTTCATGGACTTTTTTCCCATCCATTCATAGTATTTTTGCAAACATAAATTTTAAATTTCTATGTGGTCTAATTTGTCTTTTATTTAAGGTGTTTTTATTTTGCATAAAAAGCCTTCTCTTACTGCAAGATTAGATATACATGTACCCATACTTTTATGCAGTAGTTTTATAGCTTCCTTACTTTATTATGTTGAACATGTTGAATCAGAAATCACTACTTGAATCACTTTAAATCTGGAATTTATTTTGGTATAAGAAATGAGACAGAAATGAATCCTATTTTTTTACAGTAGGTGATTAGTTGATTCAGTACAGTTTAATTGAAAAATCTATATTTTCTTCATTATTCTCAGAACTTTCATTTATTTTTGTTAATTTTCCTAAAACATCCTTTTGTTTTATTCAGAGATCATATTAATCTAAGCAAAGTTGATATTGTTTTCAGTTCATCCTCCAATCTTGAAGAAAGGCATATCTTTCCGTTTACTATCTTTATTCATGATTCTGAACAAAGATTTCATCTTAGGCAGTTTCTGCACATTTCTTGTTAAGCTCATTCTTAATACTTTTCAAAATTTTAATCAAGGTGACACTACATGATCAAAATATCACATAACAGAGAAACCTGATGATGGGTTTCTTAATGAATAATAAACAACAGCTGTATGCCCAAGTATCTCAGTCCCAAGTCCCAGAGGTCACCATTTTTAACCATTTGTGTTTTCATTTCCGGTGATGCTATTCATACTCCTAGTCAATATTTCTTAATTTATCCACTTTAGACATAGACTTCTACTATGATATGTGAAGATTTAATTCAGGCAAACATCACTCCCCACATCTCTTGACCACTCCCATATTTGTACATAAATCTCTATTTCTTTTTCTATCAAACTCTGACAGAATGGCTAGCCATCTCCTTGTATAAGATAAAGGTCTCAGCACTGCTTCTCATCCCACTGCTTTCCTCTTCTCTCATTTCCATCTTTGGTAGTGCGTTAATTTAACATCCTTAAGTTCACCAATATTTACATTTTATTTATTTATTTATTTACTTTTTTTTTTTCTGCGCCATCCTGCCACCTATTGGCAGCTCAGTGGCAGCTCAACTGGGGCTGGGAATCAAATTGGCGACCCTGCTTGCTCAGAGCTTGCACTCTTGGGCGAGCTCTTAACCAACTGAGCCACCGGCCCCAACAATTTTTACATTTTGTTCTTCCATCATAATTGGGTCTTCATGCTTGTCCGTATGTTGATAATCAGTAGATTGATCATCAATATATTCACTATGAAAATACTGTCCTGTCTAGCCTTGCATTACTCTAAGACAATATGTCCTCCTCCAAGGCACCAATATTATGACATGTGTGGTACTAAAAGGTAAATGTTCAAGGTTAAATGGAGTCCCCTTTCTTACTTTCCACTAATTGCTCAGAATCTGGCCTAATTTAATTCAGTTTATTTGAAATCCTTTTTTGGCTATTATCAATAATGCTGCTATGAACATTCATATAAAGGTTTTTGTGTGAACATATGTTTTTGTAAATTACTTTTACTTAATATGCTTTTTACTGTTTGTATTAAAATACATGTAAAAACATCTATTTCTCTTACTTTAAAAATATACACATGCAAAAGTTATTAAAGGTGGTGAAGAATACAACTGATACTATTGATGTAGAACTTTCAATCATTTGCATCTACTTTATCTTTAGCTGGTTTCAAGAACTCTTACTCTACAAAAGATTTGCTTTCAAAATGAAATCTACTTGACATCTTGTATAGTAGCTCAACCTTTTTACTGAGAGCGTCCCTGCTGTGTCTTACTAACAGTCAGTCCTAAAATAGAAGACATGCCTGGATGATATTCACTGAGTACAAAAGTGACACCTCTTTTGGCTTTCATTGACTTAATTATTCACCTACTCAATCTCCATGCTTTTTTCCCCACACTCAAATAGCAATAACATGTAGAGGAGTTTTATCTTCTGAAAAACCCACTGACTTCATAATCCTTTAATGCTTTGTTGTCTCTTTCTTTTTATTTAAAACTTACTCAACTATTCAAAGCTTTTCCAATATTTAAAATAACT